TTCCTCCAGAATTCTGTCACAGTGACTAGAACCATATACTTCTGATATGTAGTCAATAGTCTAAGTATTGTTTATACTTTCTCCTTGTGGAAGGCCTTTGTGGGGGTGGGACAATAAATTTAGAGCAAAAGGCCTATTTAAAATTGCTGAAGGAAACCACAGAAATGAGCTCTCATTACCAAATGACATCTGACTCCCCCAGACTAAGACAGGAAGTTGTAAATGAGCATGGCCTGAGGGGGGGAAGGCAAATTGGGGCTTCTGCCATCCATATGGGATTTCCCCTGAAATCTCACTTTCTAATGTATCAAGCATAATCACTATGAGTTAGGCAGAAGCCAGCAAGTGACTCTCCAGAGTCGCAAAGCTTCTTCTGTTGGCCTTTTCTACACAACAGAAAATCAAAGCCACGCATTGGATTCCAGAACCAGGTATCAAGCTGCTCCTCTCCACTGGGGTAGCTCTGCTGCCTTTCTCCAGCTGCCAAAGGGCATGGACAGAGTAGACTATGGTTGCTTGTCCTCTCAGCGCTGTCTAGGCGAGCCTCTGGAGGCGACTGCCCTTCTCCTGTGTCTTCAGGATTGGCGGAGTGCACCGGCTCCTGAACCACAGCCTGCGCAAAGGCTGGCACCCTACCTGCTCTTCCCAGCTGTTTCATTTTCTTCTTCATCAACTGCAAGGCTCTCCCAGGGGCCATTTGCAAGTGAAGACCACTCACAGGCCACAGGTCTGCAGGGAACAGGGCCTACCCTTCCTGCCAGTCTCAACTGAAGACACGCAAAGCAGCTCAACAAGCCTTTCATGGCAGGAATACCCACAGGTCACATGTCCCAGAAGCAGAAAACAGTGCCTCAGCCAGCTGGAGGGCTCTCACAAGCCTCACCCCAAACCAGCTCCAGTCCTCTGAATTTCCTGTTCTTGGAAAGTCTGGCCAGTAGGGACTACGCTTGCCAGGAACTTCAAATACGACCTTTACTTAGTAGCGATTGTTAGAAACTATTAAGATGCCCCGGCAAAGATAGTATCATCTGTGGCTACATCTTGCTGGAAGAAATGCCAGCCGTGCAAAGCACGGGCTTCCTCCCCCGCCCCCTTCTCTCTCTCCCTCGTGCACTTTCAGAACCACGAGAACACGTTTTCTTCCACAGCACTTCTTAACTCGGCGTCTAGACATAAATGAGCCATTTGCTAATTGTTTAGCAGCTTTTAAGGAAGGAGGTGTGGGGGAGGGAGGAGGGCAGATGGGTACTTCCCTGCTTGTTTCCCTGTTATCAGCAGACAGGTGCCAAGGACATCGCTAACTCTTCAGAAGCCTGTGCCACCAAGAGACCCCTCTTCTCAGAGGCCTAGCGGGTCCTGGCTGGGAAAGGAGCAGTTGTGGACATCAGAACTTCTGCCAGTGTGGCCAATGAAGTCCCCAGGAAAAATCCTGCCAGGGAAACTCCCTCCAAGCGCAGGGCCAAATTGGTCCAGGTGTCCTGGATATTATGTATCTGTGTGAGGAGGGGTCCTGGAATCATGGACTGTCATGGGCTTCTGTCCTGGGTATCATGTACCATGTATGGGGAAAAGTTGTGGATATCACATATCTGCATGGGAAGCCGTATTGGATATCATTTTCCTGTGCAGGACACAGTCCCAGCTGAGCCCTGCTACGGGCCCCTCTCTGAGCTTCCAAGACTTGAGCACCACTCCAGACCTGCTGCCATTTCTAAAATAGCTTTTCCTTCTAGAAGTAGACTAGCTGGCCACCTGAATGGAAGATGACCACAGCCTCTCCCATTGGACAGAGCTAAAACCCAGCAGCCTCAACCCCATCCCCATCGGATAAGCTTCCGTCCAGCTGTGCAGGGAGCAGCAGCAAGACCCTTATGCTGGGCTCACAGTGGAGATGACTCTGTATGTTTCAAATTGACCAGTCACCAAGACCAGGCTAACTCCCTAGGGCCGCTTTAGATTGTTTTCTTTACATGTCAAAAGCCACTGTGCCAGTCTTGAACACTGCCAACAGGTCCATTGGTCACCTGCATCCGGTCCTATCCCATACATTCCTACCAGGCAGGAAGGCAGGTGAATGCAAAACTGACTCTCATTGGATCCCCCAAACCTTACAAGTTAAAGTCCAAAGTCCTTCCTGTGGTCTTCAAGTTACTAAATGTGGCTGATTTTCCCCCCCTGTAATCAGCAATGACTCACTAGATACATCTAGATGCAAGAGAGACGGGGTATTAAGAGTTGCTGTGGAGGAAAACATCCACCCTACCCCTTTAGAAGTCGCACACGGAACATTAAGGAGAGGTATGTGGGTTACAGGCCTGGGGTTGCTCACTACCTGGCTCACACGGACACTGATGTACACGTACCTTGCTTTCTTTCATCTTTATCCTTCATCCTCTTCATGGAATGAACTATCCAGATCCTGGTCCTTTCAATGTCTGATTCCTTTCAGCCGTAAGGCCTTGCTAGGTCTGCCGCTTTCTCTAAGATGGCTGCCTTAGTCCTTCACACGGTTGGGCGGACCAAGCTCAGCGCTCACATAGTTCCTTCCTGGCCCCCTATCCAAACAATGGTCGTTTCAACCTAACTGTTGCTCTGACAAAATGCCTAAGGTTGGGTAACATATGAAGAAGAGAAGTTGGTTCAGTTTACTGGATCCCTTGGCTACCACATACACCATAATGGTCATGGTGATGGCAATCGGAGTGGAAACTGCAAGATAATAAAACTTCACAACACAGGAGCCCAGGGCCCAAGATAGGGTCAGGTCTGACTCTTTATAAAACAGCTCATTCTTGGGAGAAGTTAATCCACAATGCTACCATTAATCCCTCTCAAGATCAGTGTACCCAATAACCTAATTACCTTTCCTGAGGCCTGGCCTCTTAAGGGCATCAACAACTTCAACACTGCCACACTAGAGATGAATCTTCCAGCACATAAACTCCTGTGGCACAAGCCACCTGCTATAATCCAAGCAGATTGCTTTTCTCTGTGTCTATCTTCCTTACACGTTACATGCAAATAGAGCATTATCTCTTCTGGCCTTTGCAAAAGACTCTGCTATTCAATGCCATGTTTAACATCGAGGAAGAAAGAATCCAGTAACAGTAGAATTTCAGTGTTTCTGGACAGAAGAATATGGTAGAAAAGACAGTTAAGAAAGTAGTCTGACACCTACTATCCAGAAGCTAAGTTCAGGGACAAAGCCAACTTCCACACTCTATAGTGAGCCGCAGTGTTGGCTGCAGTGATCCTGAGTGTTAGCTGCAGTGAGCCACAGTGTTGGCTGCAGTGAGCCACAGTGTTGGCTGCAATGAGCCACAGTGTTGGCTGCAGTGGGCTGTAGTGTTGGCTGCAGTGAGCTGCAGTATTAGCTGCAGTGATCCTGAGTGTTAGCTACAGTGAGCCACAGTGTTGGCTGTAGTGAGCCACAGTGTTGGCTGCAGTGAGCTGCAGAGTTGGTGTTGTCTTGGCCTGTAACATATTCTATCTCGAGACTGCAGCTTCACGTGTTGATCTTAGGATCTGGGGAGTCCGACCTATAACTGGTACCTCTGAGATTGAAATATTGGGAAATACCTGCTGTAGAATGCCATTCCTGAGTATATCCTCCTCTACCAATTCTAGAAGTTTCCACCTATCCTGGGCAGACGCGGAACCTTAGTATAACATATTCTGTGGTTTGGATCTGGAATACCCAACAGCCCAAGTGCCGAAGGTGTGAGGCCCAATCTGTGACAGTACTGGAGACAGTGGGACCTTTGAGGATGCGGGGCGTTGGATGCGGGGCGTTGGATGAATGAGAGATGAGAGTATGCCATAGCAGGCAAGTATCTCATATTGGGGTTTTGGGTCCATTCTATGTTTTCTTTTCATCATGGCTACCATAAGGTGAATGGGACTCTTCTGTCACATGCCATGTCTCCTCAATGCTGCACTATGCTTGAATGAGCCCAAAGCAATGGAGCCAAATGACGATGGAATGAGACCTCCGAGGCCACCAGCCAGAACAAACTTCTTCTCTGGAAGGTGATTGTCTCGGGCATCTAATGACAGCAACGTAAGATTAACATATTGTATACTAACAACACCTTCTGATGAGCCATCATCCATCTTCTTTTGTTGCAGGAAAATAAGTGAGCAAGCCACTTATTCAGGAGTTGAAGGGTACTGCCTGCCCACAGAGGGGAGCTGGGGATGGGGAAGGCCACTGGATACTTTGATAAAATGTGTGGATGCCAGTTCTCTAAAAAGCAAGGCGCCACTGTAGCAGGATCTTCCCAATACAAACTCTGCCTTCTAACCAAGTTTTCCACCTGCATCTGAAAGCAGCATCGACTCCACACACAGGCCAACCTCCTGGACTACAGGAAGGTCGACCAGCAAGCTCCCAGAGACCAGACAGTCTTTGGGCAACTGACAGCACTTAGGGCCAGTGCATTAGACAGGTCACTGTTGCCCTGCAGCAGCTGTAGTTTAATATCCTTCTATGCATGAAATGCAGAGGCCACAGGGGAGGTTTTGACCAGATATTGGTAACAACAGAGCCTTTGTCTGAGGTGTTCTAGTATCTCACTGGCGGTTCATGGCTGTCCTCCCATCTGAAGTTAGATTAGGAAGACAGCTTACTCATAGCCAGAGAGCATGATCTGAATGGCACAAGGTTGTATTTCCATAAAACAAAGAACCACTGAGATCTAGCTATCTGCCATAACCCCAGGTGAGGCATGTAGCTAAGCAACTTGGTCCAGGATGGGATGACTGGTAACTTAAATGTCTCTGTCCATTCAACTCCGACACACCCAGGTTATGCTATGTACATTGGACTCCTATAATCCCCATCTCAGCTAAAGTCTTAATGGGCTCCTCGCTTTGCCTCCTTGGCCAGAAGTTATCTATCCCTGAGTCTGTCTTCCCAGAACAAATAGGCTACTCAGAGCAGAGACTTGACAGATGGCCCCATAGTGGTGTTTATAATAAGGGCTACAATAAAGACCAACCTTGGATGTGTACGTGTGGCCATCAGATCCGCAGACCATCGCTGACTGTGCCACAGGGCAGGGCTTGCACTTAACCAGGTTTGAAGGTCCAACCCAGTGTTTGTGAGCCACATTCCCCTTCTTCTGCCTAAGGAAGGAAAAGAGGGGATACGTTAGTCTTAGTGGAAACTCTGCCCCGCCCCCATGGGTGTTCCCTTGGGCTCCCAAAGAACACAGCTAAATACACACACTGAAGCAGCCCTAAAGCTGACCAGAGGACCAAGGGAAGCTGTCCAGAACTCCCGTGTGTTCCAAGTCATCAAAGGGTATCAGGGGTTTTCTCTTAAAAGCACATATTCCATCCAGTAGCTTAACCAAGCAAAATGGTAGCTACTAAAACACTGCACATGGCATACCCACATGGACAAGCATGTCACAGACATTTCAGACAGACAGACAGACAGACAGACAGACAGACAGACAGACAGACAGAGCGGCATAGTCTACCCAGTGTTGGGATCAACACATCACATGTGTCTTGGACAGCCTTACACTCTCCTGGAGCCATGGGCTGCTTCCATATGACCAACACTCCCACTGAGTAAGCACTTCAGGCAGAAATACTCCAAACACCACCGGAAGACCCCCGCACGGCTGAAAGGTACCACCTCTGGGTAGGTGTTAAAGTGATTTCACTATAGCTTCCAGCTTGTTATTTGGTTAAGGCTAGGAGGATGATGTTACTTCCCACTGTCAACCAGAACTCTCTTGCATTCCAGCTCTGGTTTCCATGTCCACCTTTGCTGTGATGACAGGTGGTAGCTACTATGATGGTTGTGTGTCTGTGTCATAGTCCACTGAGAGAGAGGCGCCTGCCGCTCCTGCCCGCCTTTCTTAGCTGAAGCTGATCTGCATGGAGTTTCCCTGTGTGACTCCCATGAGCCAAGAGCTGGCGCCCAACATGGGGCATCAACCCACAACCCTGGGATTAAGAGTCCCATGCTCTACAGACTACCTTACTCATTACAAAGAGCGAACACCTTTCCACAGCCCATCAGCCTGGCACTCTTCATCGATCAGATAGCTAACATTCCACTGAGGACTTTTGCTCTGGTGGTCTGTCCCGCTTGGTGATTAGCATGTGGACTCTGCAGTCGGAAAACGCAATTCACAGCCAGCTCTATGACTTAAATAGAATGTGACCTTGACAAGACATTGAATGCTAGAACTCAAAGTTTCTCGTCTATAAATGAAGAAAACAAACCATTTCTGGTAGCTATTATAAAAACCACAATATGTTATGGCTTGCATTTAAAATGCCCCAACAGGCTGATGTACAGGAGAGAGGGTTTTATGGGAAATGCCCCAAACTGGATGACATGCTGGGGGGGGGTGTTTGTGGGAAATGCCCCAAACTGGATGACATGCTGGGGGGGGTGTTTGTGGGAAATGCCCCAAACTGGATGATATGCTGGGGGGGGGGTGTTTGTGGGAAATGCCCCAAACTGGATGACATGCTGGGGGGGGTGTTTGTGGGAAATGCCCCAAGGGCTAATATACTTGGAGCTCTTTTCCTGGTTGATAGGCTTTTAGGAAATTATTGGATCCGAAGGGCTGATACAACAAACAGATTAAGCCCTCAAGGGATTGAAATATGGAAGTACAAGCTGCAGGCAAGACCTATGTGGGAAGATCTCTGCGGAAGAGGCATGACCTTGGGAACTACACAGTCTAATCCCTTCATGTGTTTTCTTTTCCTGTCTGGCCTGAGCTGAGGTGCCTGTCACATACTTCCTGCTTCCACCATCATGGAGCCCTGCCTGCCACAGGCCCAGCAAGACTGTGAACCTGAACCTCTTAACCCCTGAGCCCAAAGCACACACTTCCTCCTGTCAAGTTGCTTTACTCAGGCATTTATTTTTACAGCAACCACTATAACTAGCAACTTTCAAAACAAGAAGCAATAAAACGGCAGCTATTAAAATTGTTTCCACAACAGATGAGACTGTAAAAAAAGACTTGACCATTCCATGGAAATGTGATAAGTCCTCAGGGCCTAGATCCAGAGGGCCTTTAGCCACAAAGATCCTGGGAAGGTAGAACGGAATCTGCTCTGCCCAGTGAACGACGGCCCCATCCCTCATCTGTGGTGACTGAGGAGAGCTGCCCTCTTCCAAATGAGAGGAAGAGAGAGAGAGAGAGACAGAGAGAGAGACAGAGAGAGAGAGACAGAGAGAGAGATGAACACAGGAAACACTAATTCGGTTCTTATGCCGCACCTCAGGCCTTCATTAGTAATTTAAAGGAGGCAGTGGGTGAGGAGAGCCTGTGTGGAGAATTTGTGGAGAAGGACATCAAAAGGAGTCAGTTCATACCCATAGCATAGGCCCTGGGCCTGGAGAATGTACTCCCTCCCATGTTTGAACACTTGGTCCCAGTTTGTGGAACTGTCTGGGAAGGGCTAGGAGATGTAGGAAGAAGTACCTCATTGGTGAGTGGACTTTGAGGTTTCCAAAGCCCATACATCCCACTCTCTCTCTGCCTTCAACTTGCAGATCAGGATCCAAGCTCTTAGCTACTATAACAACATTGTGCCTGCCTACCTGACTTCCTGTTGCCACCCACTACGATGGTCATTGGACACTGACATCTGGAAAGTGTGGGCCCTCAAATTCAGTGTGTTCTTTTATAAGTTACCTTGGTCATGGTATGTTTTCACAGCAATAGTATTTCTTACTAAGACATAAGTTTCGGGAGGGTTAGAGCTGAGAGCTCACATCTTGATCCTGAAGCAGGAGGCAGAGAATACAATGGGAACAGTGCTAGTCTTTTAAAACCTAAAAGCCTGACCCCAACGAGGCCACACCTCCAATCCTTTCCAAACCGTTCCACCAACTGTGGACCAAATATCACATATATGAACCTATGGAGGCCATTCTTATTCAAACCACAGCAGCCCATCTCAGTCTTACCTAGAAAAGTAGCTTTAAAGTTCTTTGAGGATACCCTTGTCCGTGCTATTGGAGATCTGCCTGCTCCCCAAAAGCTACCCACACTGGCCTTACCTCTCTATCTGGGTTGGACCATTTTCATCATTTGAGTTCATGACTCACATGGACTTGAGGGCTTCTATTTTTCTTCAGCAGACATGACTTTCTCAAGGCCGGTTTAAGCAACTGGCACTGGCGAGTGCCATGTGGATGGGCTGGTAGTGCACGGTTAATCTTGGAGCCCAGAGTCTCTTCAGCAGAACACCTCACATTTATCATCACTGTCTGTCGCTGAATATGGAGCTGGGCTGACACTTGGTAGCCCTTTTCTTGGGTTAGGCCCAAAAGGCCGGAGCAATTCCTGTTCTGGGCTTCCAGAGGGGCCATAAAGCCCACAGGGTTTTCCTGGAGTGGGCAGGCCCAAGTGTGGTGATGCTTTAGGAGGAAGAAATCTCCGGGAGTTCAGCCAAAGGCAGGGGAGGGAGAAGCAAACACCGCAAAGATGAAGCCAGCCATCAGTCACCAGCTAAGGACAGGTGCTCTGTGTCTCTGAACCTGAACTTCACTATTAAATTAAGTTCTTCGAGAAGCAAGGAGGGGAGGAGGCTGGCGCCTAGCACAGTTATGGCACCCGGCGGGTGGAGGTTTTGCCCATGCCTGCCATGCACTTGTCACTCTGCAGTAAACTACGGGTTCTCAGAATGTTGGAGTGCCCTAAAGCTAATCTAGATAATGTGGCACGTGTGTGTGCGTGTGTTCAGGACTGGCTGCTTGGTGATGAACACCCACCTGGTGGGGCCCCCAGCCCCATTTCTCTCCCTCTCTGAGTTCCTTACATGCCCTTGGTCCTCAGTGCAGGGTTGATGCCTCTCGACCTCTCCAAGGTCCACACTGGCACATGCTTACTCTTTGCTGCCCTGGTTTAGTTCGGTTTAGGCAGCCATGGTGGTGAGGCATACGGGTATAGGCTCTTACAGTGGTGAAAGACACAGACTCAGGGAAAACTCCCTGGCCCTTTGGCTCTTACAATATTTGCACTCCTGTTCTGCAATGCTACCTGAGCCTTAGGGTGTGTGAGTGGTTTGTGTGGGCTTTCATCCGTATGGACGTCACAACTCTACTTGGGCTGGTTGTAGTTTCCTGTTACACATGCTAAGCAGGTTATATTTAAGAATATATATATATATGCATGTACGTACAGATACATAAATATGTGTATATGTGTATGCGATGTGGGTAACAGCAATCAATAAAAAGAGAGACTATTAATTTGGAAGAGATCAAGGATGGTGTATGGGAGGGTTTGGAGGGAGGAAAGAGAAAGGAGAAATGATGTAACTATATTATGATCTCAAAAGTCAAAGACAAATATTAAAGAAAACTAATTAGATGAGTAACTTTTCCATATAAATGAAGAATTAGAAAATGTAGAGGGAAAGCAATTTGTAATGTCACACAGGCATATGGCAATGCATCATAGCTATTTTCCCGGAAGCCTTGGCAATGATCCAGTGTGACTTGAATCTCATGCTGGAGATCTGCACACTCATTGGCAGGGCTCAGTTGTCTCAGAACAGCTTCTCTGCAGACACGTCCTTAGCTCTCTACCTGCAGATGAGACCACAGAGCTCCCCATGCCCAGCGGTGGGTGGTCACAGATCATGTCTGGGTAGAAGCACCTTAGGCCTTGCCTCAGATGTTGGGGAGACTTAGTATAAAGCCTTTACCATGTCATTTTACTGCAGGTTCCAAGACTCTGGCACACCTGTTAGGTGAGGGCAACCCTGGGTGTTCCTCACCTCAGCCCAGGTAAAAACTCCATAGAAATGGTATCCAACCTATAGTACCTATCCAGAAACCACCTCTGTAAAGCTATGTGCCACTAGACATAAGCCAACAGGCTTAACTTCCTTGATGCCTGTGTATGTATTTGATTCTTCCAATCCAGTACAAATCACAAAAAAAAATAACCAGCTCAGTCAAGGCAAGTGTCGAAGAATTCTAACTCGAATATTTCAATTTCTGAGTCAATGAAGAGTGAAATCCGATGAAGCAGTTTTGATGGAAATGCTATGCCCAGTGTCACAGACATTCATCAACACGGGTGACACAGCAATTTGGTTGGGAGAGAGGGGGGCCGGTCAGCCTCTCCTTGGCC